TCGTCGCATAACACACGCTGAGTGGGAAACACACTTAAAATAGGGATGTTAGATGATCATCGATGTTAAAAATTAAAACTTAGATGTTTTAACATCGATGTTGACATATGTCAAACATCGAAACATCGACTTCAATGAACCCATAATCGATAATTGGGAACTTGCAAACAATGCGAACTCGCGAAATCAATATCAAATAAATCTTGCATCTGCTCTGAAGATTAAAAATTTTGAATAATTCAGAATTTCTGAACGCATCGTTAATCTAAAAAAATGTCAGTATGGTGAGTCAAACTTAATTGTCAAGTGTCTCCTGTAATGTCACAATGGTCACTGCTTTCGCTTTATTTTGTAGTGTCGTTGTCGGTTGTCGCATAATAACTATTCTACGTAAATTGATATTCAAGTTAATTGTTACTTTTCCCTTGCTGTGTATACCCACATAATTTTAAAACAATGTGTAACTATCTACACATATACAAAAACCATCGATAATGGTCAACATCGATGTTTTGAGTGGCCTAAACATCGAACATCGATGTTGAGCTAGCGATGCCAACATCGATGTTATTATCCCTATCTTAAAACTGAAGCCTGAGCCGTGGTAGCTCAGATGGTTAGCGCTCGCTGTAAGCTTCACAGTACTCGAGCAACCCGGGTTCGATCCCCGCCGACACCAATGAAATTGTCAATTGCAATTTTAAGTGCTGATTTACCACGTGCTCGGCGGTGAAGGAAAAAATCGTGAGGAAACCTGCATGTTTGAGAAATAAAAAATAATATTTCGATGACATGTGAAGTTCGCCAACACGTATTGGGGCAGCGCGGTGGACATTTCCTTGCCCTAAAACCCTCTCAGAAATGAGAGGAGGCCTGTGCCCAGCAGTGGGACGTAAATAGGCTGCAACTTTACTTAAAACTGAAAAAAAAGTTATTTGGTATTAGAGTGATTCTGGCTATAAAACAATATCACCATCACGACATTTATTGCAATTTTGCTACTTTTAGTTTTAGTCGAGGAGTTTTGTTGAATAATTAAATATTTCAATACCTCTGTATATATATCTTACAGGCTTACAGCTTCGTCAGGCTCATGGACATAAATTATTACAGTGAGTCTCAATACGATTCACCTGCGAAAAATCTTAACACCGCAATTCAGAAAAGGTTGTAATTTGTACAACGCCATCTATTACGTTCTTTGTGAGAAAACATCCTTTTTTAATTTAAGGAAAACATATTTTTACTGTGTTTTAAGTACTATAATAGAACGATACGAAATATATTATAATAGAACGTTTTTTTTACACACGAATCTTTTTATTACTATTTTTGGGATTTTGTGGCGCCATTAAACAAATTCGAACCTACATTTCAAAATAATAATCATGACTTTCGATAGAATTAACCAATTTCAATAAAACAAAGATTAAATGAACTTGATAATACGCTTTATGATTTTCTTAAGGATTTCATTGAAAAAAAAAAGATGTTTACTCAAAACGTCATGCGTCCATAAACAAACAGACAGACCGTCAGATAGTACAATTCTAAAAATTATAAAAATGTACTTATTTAATGATTTACAGTCCCAATAATGATTTTAGTCGCAAATTAATATACTATACAATATTCAGAAACAGACATAACATGTTATTACCATTTTTATTATATGTATAGATTTAAGAGAGATGGCGCTGTTAACATCAATTCTAAAAATAAGAGATTAATTCACACGATTGAAACAATAAAAAACATAAAAGAACTTATAAATCAGTGCCTGCATAGTAAGCAAAAAAGAAAGTTTGATCCTCGCCGAAAAATGAAATTGTTAATAGCTCTTAAAATTTGATTTACCACATAGAGTACTCGGCGGTAAAAAAATAAAAAATAAATGAGATTGTCAACACGCAGTAGGGCAGCGTGTCATTAATATAAAGGTTAGAAGCAAATATGAAACTCAACTACAGGAATAAATTTTAACCTGCCTTTTTGTATCACATTTATGCCACACCACCATCTATCGAAGAAATGGGTTAACTATTGTGCTTCAGATTTAGTTAATAAAGTTAATATATTTTTGTATAATATATTTAATACGTTCTTTAATACTTTTGTTTACTGCGTTTTAGATATACATAATTATATCATTATTTTACATAATTTAACTATGATTTATGATACGATATTAGTTTAAAATGCACTTGATGACTCAAACAAAGCCACCGTTGAGCAAATTCGTACCTATACTTCCCTACCCATACTTCAGAATATTTATCATAACTTTTGATGGAATGAACTGATTTTAATGAAATAAAGACTAAATGTAACCCGAAGATACACTTTATAATTTCCTTAACAATTCTTATGATATAAATTAGTACTTTATACGTGATACGTTAACAAACAAACAGACAGACAGACAGACAGACAGACAGACAGAAAATTCTAAAAATGCTAGAAATGTATTTAATTACTTATTTTTAGTACCCCTCAATCACTTTTATTACAAAAATATAAAATGTACAGACATCTGCTATTTACAGTTTTATTATATGTATAGATAACACTAGCTGTTCCCCGCGACTTCGCTCGCGTGTTAGGGTTTTTATGTTTTTGCGCGGAACCCTAATTATTTTTCTAAAATAAATGTAGCCAAATTTACTCCTTATAAAATCAGCTACCTGCCAGTGAAAGTCCCGTCAAAATCGGTCCAGCCGTTTCGGAGATTAGCCGTGACAAATAAGCAGACAGGCAAAAATTTTAAAAATTGTATTTTAGTTATAAGTACCGTATTTGCTTTCATATGCATTTAGTAAAAAAACTGTAATTTTGGCATTACAAACAGACACTTCAATTTCATTTATTTGTATAGATACGAGATTTTATGCTGGCAAAAGCGGTGCTAATGGTGCTGCTGATATACTATGGAATAGGTTTTCCTCGATGCATTTGAAAAGTTACGATAGGAATATGTACTTGTATATAATATCGTTCGTGTAAATACACCTATACATTAACGATTTCTTTTAATATTTATTACAAAAGTGGCAAAAACTTGCAGTTCTGGATAATATTCTACTTTAGTCTTTTTACGTCGCTCACAAGTAACAATCCGCCATATCAGTAGTGCATTGGGTTCAAATTAGTTGATACTAATATTTTTGTGCTACTCACATAAGAAATGTGATATGACTGCACCTGTTTCGCGGACATTGCATCCTACCTTTGACATTGTCGTATTAGCTTTCTCTTGAATACAAGTAAGTTAGAATACACGACTGGGGCTTTGTCCGTCCAAGAGCCAACTTGGTCACTCACGGAGACACTAAGAGGTTATATAGGTGTGGCTTATAGCAGCGGAACGACTTGAAGCGACCACTCTGGCTGAACTTGGCGACGACGAATTACTGAGTGCCGTTCACCCTACCATTGAGTAATCGCGGAGGAAGTTGCACCATTTTGAAACTATGGAAACTCATTTCGAACGACGTATTCGAATAACTACAAAATGGTTGTATGTAGTTTTAAATCAGCAAATATCTACAAGTTTTGAGTTTTGTCTTGTTTGTATGTAAAAATACTTTTTTTTAATTTATATTGAGCTGATCTCAATCTCTTACAAAAATATTCGAAAAGATGTTGTCCTTGTAAACGTAGTTACTGCATAACATGTACATCGTGTTAAATTGCCCGATAGCATGGACATTTCAACACTCTCTAGGATCTAGGCCTTCTAGGCCAATCGTCATCGCTCGTTTCTCAAAGGTTATTATTAGAATCCAATGCATAACTTTGAAAACAATCTTGAATTAAAAAAAACGTATAAATACATATTGTTATAAGTTAATATTTTTTTAGTTGATTTTTTTTGCGATATTTTTGTAAAATTAGGATATTATATAAATACATAAATATATATATATATAGGATAAGGGTGACAAGCAAGCCACACAGTCCACCTGAAGGTAAGTTGTTGCTGTGGCCCATAGACATCTACATCTATCCTCAACTACGAATCAAAATGCGAATGTATTGTCAGGGACGAGGACTAAGATGGAATGCCTCTTTTCCAGTAAAGCATTATTTTTCCAGTAAAGCTTCCCCGGTCGAGCCGACCCATTCGTGCTACAACTATACAATTAATATAGTTGCAACATGGCTCTATCACGTAAAAAAAAAAACTTAAATATAAACATAATACTTAAAAAGAAACATATGAAATAAACTTTATATTTCATAGTTTACGAGTCGCGACCAACATTATATGGATAATATTGAAACTGCTTGTTGAAATGTGGAGCACTAATTCGTCCGTCGTCGTAAACCGTGAATTCGTCGGTAAAGTATAACCATATTAAAGAAACCTGCATAATTAAGGAATAAATTAATTTACAAGCACATGTGAAGGCGAGAGTTGGTATACTGAACAATTGTGGCGGAATCCCTGGTCTATTGCACTTTCAAAAAGTGTGGACAGGCTTATGTAGTAGTATCCATACAAAAATTATTATTTTACCTTTAGAACACGAGGGCCCCAAATGTTCACAAATCAAAGACTATCAATACACCAAAAAGATTTAAAAAGTAATGAACATAATAAGAAAAATTTAGCAAAAACATTTTATTTTTATTTGAAGCACACAAGTCTTAGTTTGTACTGTATATAATTCTCATTAATTATATAATTCAAATCTTTACATTATACTTATATTTAATTGTGTTAATTAAGATAATTCTCATGACTTTTAATCGCTTGAGCATTTGGACTAGTCCCATTGGTGTAAGTAAGGGTACCGTAAGGCTCACAATGCTTTCATTGTAAGTTAATCTATAGTGTGACCTTCTAGTTGAGCCACGCTAATATCTTGTAAAACTAAAGACAAATATTTTATTTCTTTATTTTTGATGTGGTTATTTTTCACTTATATATTATTGAAATAAAGCATTACAGAACACCATGCCATTAGGATATTTCCGTTAAAAGTTTCTGTCTTCATTCACGTCGCATTCTTGCCAACGGACAAGAAACCCGAGGTATTCGAAAAGTACTTTGCGTTAGCTTCATTGACTCGGGTTTCTGCTGCTTGCGGATTTACGATCTCCAAACCCTGAGAAAGAATAAATTTAATTTATTATACAAAAATTATACTAAATATTATATTGATATCTTTCGTAGTTACGTTAAGTTCAACATGAACAGTGTTGTTGTATTTTTAAAAGAAATATAAACAGACTTTAGTTATTATCGCTCTATTCAAATTTTATGTTGGAAAACACTATCATCATCACCATCAGCCTACGGCAGTCCATAGCTGCTGGACATAAGTCTTCGCTAAGACGCGCCATTTAACAAGAACTACTACGATAGTATATTGTAATGAACGAATAGCAATTATCATCCAATCGGACCATAAAACTGAGAGCATAGACTGCACTTGCGCACAGACTCGTGAACTACATAGGGCAAACTGAAAGTTCTTCGCTCCTGGTCGCTCATAAATGTTTAAATTTCGAATGTTACATATATATTTATAATATAATTTATGGTGAAAAGTCACGTGTCAACAATTGTTTTTTGTCAAAAGTTTATGTTGTAGTAAAAATGGAATACACGTAAAAAGATTTTAGAACATCGTGCTAAAATCTTTTCACGTGTACTCCATGGTCATCATTTTTTATGATTTAAAAAGTTTATTACTTGCAGAGCACCGTTAGGCGTTGGTGGCTTGGTGGTGGCGTGGTCCGCAAGATTGGCGTAAGCACAGATGCAAATCTCTACTCCGATAATTGATTTTAGTCCGACCCCGGATTCAAACCCAATTAGTTGTCGCGCTTACGAACGCTAGACGAACGAAGCAGTCGACAGTCAGCAATGCGTATAACGTAATACGTATGGCGGTCGACTTAGCTATGATGACTTTATGCCAATAATCAATATTTTTTTAAAAAGCGGTGAATTTCGCCATAAACAGTAAGGCATCGTGATCGTGACTGAGCGAACACCTCGCACAGGCGAATACCTCGCATAAAACAAATTAGATAGCCTTTATATTTCTATCCTTTATATTACCTATGTACTAATCTATACTAATACTAATATTATATATATTATAATATAATATATAATAAAGCGGAAGAGTTTTTTTTTGTTTGTTTAAACGCGCAAATCTCTGGAACTACCAGTCCGATTTGAAAAATTCTGTTTGTATATTATAGCCAGATTCTTGTGGAATAATATAGGCTATCTAGCATTAAGCTATATCACTCAGCTAGCCTTAAATATGGACATTTGTTAAGCAAGTCAGAAGAAAAAGTACTCCCGAAATGATTTATCCGCGTACGCTGGTGTTATCGTTAGGGATACGTAAATACAATGTTCTAGAAAAATATAGACCTTTACTCCGTCTAAAAAAAAGTCCGCGATACCATATGTCTATTTTTTTATACATAAGCCATAATGTGGTATTTTGTGACAAAAAAAAAATTAAAATTTAAAAGTGATTTATGAGCGTTATTATTAGGCATGACCTATTTATCTTTACGAACGAAAGTCACTTCATCATCAAGACAATTTTATGAAGATAAACTTTGTTCTTTATATCATTTTATTTGGACGCATAGTTCAAGAGATAATGTAAAATTAAAATAATTCAATACTTGGCTGGGCGCACGAACGACGCTTACACCCTAGCCGTTATAAAATGCTTGAACTAGGTCATGTCGCGCACCTCGGATATGTGATGACGCGGGTGAAACCGCTGGGCACAGTTAGTAATATAATAAAGCGGAAGAGTTTTTTTGTTTTTTGTTTGTTTAAACGCGCTAATCTCTGAAACTACCAGTCCGATTTGAAAAATTCTTTTTGTATATTACAGCCAGATTCATGTGGAATAATATAGGCTATCTAGCATTAAGCTATATCACTCAGTTAGCCTTAAATATAGATATTTCTTAAGCAAGTCAGAAGAAATAGCACTCCCGAAATTATTTATCCGCGTACGCTGGTGTTATCGTTAGGGATACGTAAATACAATGTTCTAGAAAAATATACATCTTTACTCCGTCTAAAAAAAGTCCGCGATACCATATGTCTATTTCTTATACATAAAGCCATAATCAGGTATTTTGTGACAAAAAAATATTGAAAATTTAACTGATTTATGAGCGTTATTATTAGGCATGGCTTATTTATCCTTACGAACGAAAGTTACTTCATTATCAAGACAATTTTATGAAGATAAACTTTGGTCTTTATACCATGTTATTTGGACGCATAGTTTAAGAGATAATGTAAAATTAAAATAATTCAATACTTGGCTGGGCGCGCGAACGACACATTAACCCTAGCCGCCCGGTGAGAACTGCTCAACCGGGAGGGGGAGGTAAAGTGAATAAAACTTAACTTCGCTCTACATCATACATAATATGCCGACAGATAAAAGTACTCCATTAATTATGCCAATTTTTCTATCCATTGCTATCAAATAAAATATTTAATTGCAATTATAAAATGCTTGAACTAGGTCATGTCGCGCACCTCCGACACGTGATGACGCGGGTGAAACCGCGGGGCACAGCTAGTCATTTGATACACATGATACACACTTATCTCTATCTTCTCTATACATAAAAAATCAATTGCTTTCCGTTAGTCTCGCAAAAACTCGAAAATGGCTGGACCGATTTTGGTGAAATTTTTTGTGTGTGTTTGAGTGGATCCCTGGATGATCTAAACAATTCACAATTGACCCGAAAGGTGGCGCAGTTGTTGAGATCCAGAAATCACCCGTGCGAAGCCGGGGCGGATTGCTAGTTGACAATACTTTTAAAGCAAAAAGTTTTAAGATTTGATTTGAACTCTTACTTGCCAACAATTTAAGAGTATGCTTTCCCTTATATTTTTTATTTCTTTAAAAACTTTTGAACCAGAAAATAAAAATAAAACGCAATTACAATAAAATAATTGGAAATAATATTTTTCTTCATCAGCCCGTATAAGTCACATGCCGGCACATCGCTTGCAACTTTACAAAGCGAAAAACTAATCTCTGGGCCGGGTCACCCCAGTGCCAGTTCCTTCCACTTGACCGTATCCAGCGCAGAGCAGTTCGAATCGTCGACGACCGAGTTTTTTCTGATCGGCTCGATTTACTGGCTCTGCGTAGGGATGTTGCATCCCGTGGCATTTTCTATCGAATCTACCACGAGGACTGCTCTGAGGAATTGTTCTGATTGATTCCAGCCGCCAAATTTCACGAACGCACATCGCGTCAAAATTCACTATACCATCCTCACCTCTGGATGCTTGGCGACCCACGACTGTGCGTTTTACGCATAAAACTTCTCAGTGGAATTGTTTACTTTTTGTGATTGTGATTTTTCCGGACCGATACGACCTTCAACTAAAGAGCTTACTCTTCTAAAAGGGCGGCAACGCACCTGCAATTTTCCTGCTGTTGCGGTTGTTCATGGGACGTCGGTAGTCACTTACCATCAGGTGAGCCGCATGCTCGTTTGCCCTCTCTTCTATATAGAAACAAAACATCTCCCGATGAAGGAAGGGTTTGCCTTAATGGTCACACTAGGCAGGCGGATTTAGTTTACGACCACAACACTAGACGACTGTTACCCGTTGTCGCTCTGGGTACGTCTGCTATAAACGCGATGGGTATAGCGCCATAAGAAGCCATATTACCTGGCATTTCCCATAGACGCGTCTTACGACCCCATTCATCAAACGAAATGCGTTGATATATCCTTATACATCGCCACCACCTAATTTGTTTTTATAGGATAAGTGTGACAAACGAGCACACAGTCCATCTGATGGTAAGTGGTTGCTGTTGCCCATAGACATCTATATCTATCCTCGATAACGAATAAAAAGGTATATGCGTTGTCAGCCGTGAGGACTAAGATGGAATGCCTCGTTTCCAGTCAAAAGGGTCTCCGGTACTCTACACTCACCATACGAAACACAGCAGCGTTAAGCTGCTATTTTACGCTGGTATTCAGTGAGAGCATGGTCCTTCCCGTGGTTTAACTGACGTACATCCAAAAACTAACCGTGTGTGTGAAATCTTAAGTTTAAATTTTTAACTGACGACAACCCACGATTTTTCGGCCGTACTGTCAGTTAAACTACTCAGTTGAACTGAAGTACATCCAAAAACTGATCGTGAGTGTTGTACACAATTTCTATAAAAATATTAATTATCTTTTATAGAATATATTTTTATCTACTACCAGGCACATATAGTTGTTTTACTATTATAAGTCAGTGATTGACACTACATGTTTTTTTTTTAATTTTGTTAATTGAAATTGTAATCGCGCACCATGTAGGGCCATCACCACCACTTACCACCAGGTGGAGTTGTAGTCAAGCAATGGACTTCATTCTAATTGGATAAAAAGATATATGCTGGCGCATCGCATCATTATACTCCATTGCTGCTCCCATTACGAACGACGCAGCAAACCGTTTGGTTCGAATGCGTGGTGGAATGTTAACAACAAAAGAGTGAAGACTGTCGAGCGTCTGTTTATCCAAGTGGAAGGGAGAGAGTTATTAATTTATGTAATTCTTGCGCCCACTCTCCGAAATGTTTCCCGTAGAGCACCGAAAAGCCAACTATTTCAGACCTGTATTCGAGAATGATCAGATGAGCTTACACTTGAAGACACCAAAAAGCACTTTACAGGCATTTGTAGAATTGTATCTATTATTAACTTTTCTTAGTACAAAGAACATGAAAATTTAAAACAGAAAATCGGATGTAAACATAAAATAAAATAAGTTTAACAGCTTAACTCTCTTATTTACAACAAAAGCCGTAAACACCATTTCCGACATATAAGTATTTATTTTGCAATCGCACCTAGGTAAGTTAAATCTAGTTCTATCCTATTATCGTAAGCACGTTACGCGTGACCGTTTACAGGCTTTAATTGGTTTAATTCAATTTAATGCGGAAAATACCTGGCATGTTGTACCTATGATAATTTATAAACTTATTTAAGAGTTTTTATACAAATGTGTTTTTCATCTGTAACAATACAAGGCAGGGCATTGATATATGTCTTTCGCTGTCATCTCATGAATGAT